CCATAACTCTACATGGCCAGAGCCTGGCAGCTGATCTTTCCTCTGACCGAGCTCTAACAGCTCACTGGTAGGGGAAAACTGGCTGATCGCATTCAATACCTCGGAAGCCAAACTAGTATAATTCCATCATCGCCGATCGGACTCTGAACTATCAGCAGTCATGATGAATGGATATTCCGTCTCGGAGGAACCGTGCTTTGAGCGCCTATTGTTACTTAAACTCAACCCAGTGCCGCTTCAGTAAGTACCTGACACCACGCGTTAGCCTCTGCTTTTAAAAGAGCCAGATCAGGCCGAAAATGGAGTACTGCTGTCATATATGTTCAAGAGCTGCCCAGTTTTTCTTTTCCAGGCTTCAAAAGCATCTCCGCACCTTTGTAGGTAACAAAATATTTTCCACCCTACAACCCCTTTTCTCACAGACGAAACGTCAAAAGACTCTCACACTTTATCCCTTTTTCCATGGAAAGTGTTCAGATTAAATACATTCCATAGTTCCATCAGTTCTAACCCTCACGGCTAAGGCCAGTCATGCCACGCCCGTTGCAGTGAACCATCCTCTTTCCCTTTCGTATTCCATTCGTAAGACCTAAGTTCCACTCGAGCAGCTTCTTCCCACGAACCGCTGCTTTCTCATAACTGGGAGAGATAGTAAGGAGGCAAACATTACTTAGATACGAAGGATGGGAAGTTGTGGAGAGCCATGATAACTCACGTCCTGAAGGCACTTCGTCTTTATGTGCCGTTTCCCTTCAGGACGTGGGCAAACATGACTCTCCACAATTTCCAGTTCTTCATAGCTCCTAATAATTTTTTGTTTTTTCGATATTTCTCCTAAACCCATTCCGCCATCCATTTATTGAAGCTCATCAAGTATTTTATACGTCGTTTTCCTCTGTCCCTCTTGCCTTCAATCTATCCTGTGAGTATCAGATTTTCCAAGTCATCTTTCCTCATTATGTGCTCCATAAATTTAAACCCTCTTTTTCTGATGTTAAGTATAAGTTTTCTTTTTGTCTCCATTTTTGTCTAAAACTTCGTCGTTACTGACATAACATATCCGGTTCATCCTCAGCATGCTTCTGTAGAACCACATTTCTTTTGCATCAAATCTCTTCTTCGTCTTTGAGGAGATTGTTCAGACAGATAGCACGTAACAGTTTAGTACTCTTTGTTTATAACGATTTTTTCTAATCCAAGGTAGTGTGGTAGACCACATCCGGCAGCAAAGCCTCTTATCGGGAGATTGGAGGTTATGAGGAGCCTGGAACCACCTCTTAACTGTTGTGGTCTCAAGGTCCACCCACACCCCGGGTGGTAGCACCTGTTAGGGTCCCAGCTATGGGCAAATAGTGAACCTCCAAACAAAAACAAAACACTATGAAAGTATAAAAATACATTTTTATAGTAAAATTACTAGAAATAGACTTATATATATATATATATATATATATATATATATATATATATTTATAAATGACCAACACTAGATATTTCATAGTAAAATGACCAGTGATACATTTTATAGCAGAATTAGCAACAATGCAATTTATAGCAGAATTTCCAACAATGCATTTTATAGCAGAATTAGTAACAATGCATTTTATAGCACAATGAACAACAATACATTTTATCTGGACTTGAAGCTATAAAATTGTATTTAAAATATTTTAGATTTTGGCATTAAATAACCCATAGAGGTGTTGATATGCCGCTAAACAAAATCAAGCATGCCAAACAAAATTATATATATAAGTGATAGAAATTATTAGGAGGATTTGATGATTATAATTAATTTATCAAGTCTAGAAGAAACTTCAACAGAATGCACCGGACAGCCGTTTCGCCCTATATTTGGGATTTATCAGTAGTGCGCATCCACTACCGAGAATTGAAACCGGGACATTTACGTTATCAGGCAAACGTCATACCAACTGTTCCAACGGGCCTCGGTGACGAAGATGCAGCAAATCAGACTCGCTCACATATTTCCTGGTAGAACTCATCTGAGTTTCTCTATACCCACATATATATATATATATATATATATATATATATATATATATATATATATATATATATATATATATATATATATATATATATATATATATATATATATAGTCTTAAGGTATGCTATATTTATGGAATAAAGTGCTCAATATCAGAGATAGAGCGTGTAAATATATAAAAGTGAACATGCTATATGCAATCGTCAGGCCACTGATTGCATATAGCATGAAAACAGACTGTCGCCTCTAAGTGTTGACTTCTATGTTCACTTTTATATATATATATATATATATATATATATATATATATATATAAACCTCAAACACTAATATTCCATGGTTATAATTCATTACATTGGAATCGTAATCACGATCCAATTTATCAGACCTACAAATTCAAAAAGAAATATTATTAGTGGAATATTAGTGTTTGAGACTTTTATATTATATTCTTGCTCTGTCCTGGACATTGAACTCTACCTGGATTCTTTCCTCTTGGAAATTTATATATATATATTGACCACTAATATCATCCATATATATATATATATATATATATATATATATATATATATATATGTGTGTGTGTGTGTGTGTGTGTGTGTGTGTGTGTGTGTGTGTGTGTGTACATTTCAGATCGAACGAAAATATATCTGCAAAAGGACAATATAAATAATATATATATACTGATAAGTTATTATGAATATCATTTGCTTCTTCTTTTTATGTGCCCCCTCATGACGTAGGCGATCATGGTTCTCCCCAATTTTCTATCCTTTGTACTTCTTAATAAATTTTATCTGTTATTTCTCGTAAATCCTGATCCACCATCCATTTACTCAAGCTCACTATGTATGTTATACGTTGTTTTCCTCTGTCTATGTTGCCTTCAGCCTGTCCTGTGAGTATCAAATTTTTAAAGCCGTCTTTCCTCATTATGTGCCCTAAATATTTCAACTGTCTCTTCCTGATGTTAACTATGTTTCCTTTTTGTTTCCATTTTCTCTAAAACTTCGTCGTTGCTCACATAATCGATCCATGGTATCCTAAGCATCCTTCTGTAGAACCTCTTTTCTCTTGCTTCAGGTCTCCATCTTTGCAGAGATTGTCCAGCATTCAATGCCATATAAGAGGACGGACATCACGTAACAGTTCAATATTCTTTTCTTTGTTTCTATCGAAGTTTTTCTGTTTCTTAATTCTCAGCTTAGCATTTGGAATGCATTTTTCGTTATCCCAATGTCCCTTCGGATTTCGTTGTCGCACTTTTCGTCATCTGTTAAAATACTTTCCAGATATTCACGGCACATAAAAGAAAGAAAAATGACCATTATATTATGTGATACTATTTGTCGTTGCCGCGGTAAAACGGAAAACAGTTTTGTTAAAACATAAGAAAGTGTTATGTACTGAAAGACATTGAAACGAGAAGGGTTAATACCAAAACCCGTGGGAAGGATTGAGGATTTAATTCACACATAAACGATTTGAATTGTATGTTGAGCAGTTTGAACAATGGAAAAGTGACCCAGACTTAGGGGGTAATGTTGATTGACACACAGCTGAAAATACAAGCTGTAAAGCGAAAATTTAATTTTTCATAAACAACGAATTTGGAGTTCATTCCCCTGGTCGAAAGTTGAGTTGAAATACCAGGAGGCGGGAGGTGGATAAGCCACCCACGCTCACTGAGGAGATTTAGTGAGAGGTAATAATATGAGAGAGTGGAAGAAAGGATTTCCCCAGAATTATCGAATTCTCTTACTTCGTCAGTTTGTGGCGGATGTCCATAAATACGAATGCGCGAAGCGAATTCGACAGAAGAGAGAAGAGAAGCAGAAGAGACGGAGACGAGATCAGAGGCAGGAGAGAGGTCCACGTGATTATCTGCCGACGAAAGCCTCCGACGAAAGCCCTGTGCCAAACTTTACCAAAGCAGCAAAGTAAACAACGATAGTACCACTTCCGATTTAGATTCAGGATGGGCTGATAGTTAATTGCATGCGAACTTTGATATATCCAATTATTGTACGGAAGACTAATATAAATAGCATTTACTTTTTGTTCAATTTATTCGGGTGTTATCTTTTTCCTGTACGTCGTCGCCATGTTTAGACCAGCCCAATACGAAGATACCTGCTACGATTCGATCTCGGCCTCCTTATGATCAAACTTAAATCACAACGTGGGATAGGGTTAGCTTTGGATTGAAGCGGTCACTTCAGCGACCAGCCGTGGTGTTGGAAGTCTTGGACAGCCGGGTGTGGAGGTGTTGAATGATTACAATTATATGTTTTGGAAAGAAATAATTACGAATAGTCTAAAAAAATATTTATTTCCATAATCGACATTAAAATGAAAGATACAGCCTATTATTATGTCCATTAAAAATATTCGGAGATTAAAAATTTTTGGTCCGCAGAAAGCAATCAGAAAGAAGGGCAAGTCGTAATAGCTATTATAATGTCGGCAGTGGGACCGGAAAGAGGTCATATGAACCCAGGAAGTCGGCAGTCTGAAATCCAAGAAAGCTAATACTGAACACGTTATTTCATATCTACACTATTTGGCGGTATTTTTCTTTGTCAAGGGAGAAAGCCACAATCAGAAGGAGCAGCAGCTGTGTTTCTGACACTCAGGGGTCTGCGAATAAACGTAACTCTCTTTAGTCTGGGCAGTCCGCAACGTGATAATCTAACTTTATGACCTGGTAAATTCTTCAACCTCTTTTTGAATTTTTTAACTCTTATTCGTTCATTCGTCGCTGATTTCATTGTATGTTTTTTTTTGTTTTTTTTTTTTTACATTTTTATCTTGCCTACATAACCTTTCTTTATTTCCGTCATATTAACTTCTTTTTTTCTGTAGTTCGTTCTTTCTTTCTTTTAGATTTATTTTTCATTGTAATTCCCTTGCAGTTTTTTTCTTTCTTTCTTTTTTCTTTCTTTCTTTCTTTTAGATTCATTTTTCGTTCTAACTTCTTTGCAGTTTCTTTCTTTCTTTCTTTCTTTCTTTCTTTCTTTCTTTCTTTTAGATTCATTTTTCGTTCTAACTTCTTTGCAGTTTCTTTCTTTCTTTCTTTCTTTTAGATTCATTTTTCGTTCTAACTTCTTTGCAGTTTCTTTCTTTCTTTCTTTCTTTTAGATTCATTTTTCGTTCTAACTTCTTTGCAGTTTCTTTCTTTCTTTATTTCTTTCTTTTAGATTCATTTTTCGTTCTAACTTCTTTGCAGTTTCTTTCTTTCTTTCTTTCTTTCTTTCTTTTAGATTCATTTTTCGTTCTAACTTCTTTGCAGTTTCTTTCTTTCTTTCTTTCTTTCTTTTAGATTCGTTTGCCGCGCTAACTCCCTTGAAGTCTCTTTCTTTCTTTCTTTCTTTCTTTCTTTTAGATTCATTTTTCGTTCTAACTTCTTTGCAGTTTCTTTCTTTCTTTCTTTCTTTCTTTCTTTCTTTCTTTCTTTCTTTCTTTTAGATTCGTTTGCCGTGCTAACTCCCTTGCAGTTTCTTTTTTTTGTTTTAGATTCTTCCTTTTCTTTCTCTATAAAAAAGTATTTTTTTCCTTTGTTTTTTATTTCATCTTTCTTTTTCCTTTTCTTACCATACAAACAGTAGCAACATTTAGTTTTACAGTTTTCTTTTTCATTTTTGTTACATTTTTCTTTATATTTTTTTTCTTCTTAAAATTCCATTTTATTTTTTTCTGGATTTCATTATAAATCCTTTTTTTCGTTTCTTTTTCACATCGTCTTTTTCTTTCTCTCTTTCTGTTTTCTTTCTTTCTTTCTTTCTTTCTTTCTTTCTTTCTTTTCTTTCTTTCTCTTTTCACACAAGTAGCAGCCATTTCTCTTTTTTCCCCCAGTCTTTTCTCTTTGTATCTTTTTCTCTTTTTTTTTTTTATTTATTTATTTTCCTTATTATGTTGGTATCGGACATTGATGCATTCAATAGAAATGCTATTCTTGAGATATGGTGTCAACGAGACTTCTCACAATTCAGGAAGTTTTTGGAGAATCCTCGCAGAGTAAATAATGGCAGTTTTTTGGAGGTCTAAAATCTTTGTCATAATTCCAAATTGCCGTAATCGCTTTTTTTATTATCTAGGTGGTGGTGAGCTCAACATTCAAATTACAAATCGAAGATACTAAAATCAAAGAAATCCAAAAATTTAAATGTCTGGTAAGTGTTCTAAGAGAGGAAGGGAAGTCAGACATTAAAATCTGAAGAAGAATTGCGATAGTCAAAGACGCATTCCAAAAGCTAAGAAGCGACAGAAAAAGTTCGTTAGAAACAGCGTACTAAAATGTCCTCCTAGATGGCAGTGAATGCTAGATGATCTCTTCAAAGATAAAGAAGAGACATGAAAGATCAGAAAGGATGTTGAGGATAACATGAATCGAACATGTGAGCAACGACGAGATTTTAGAGAAAATAGAAACAGAAAGGAAACTTATACTTAACATCAGGAAGATGCAGTTGAAAATTATGGCGCACTTAATGAGGAAGGAGGGCTTGGAAAATATTAGTTTGGTTTGGTTTGGTTTGTTTTACGGAATATCAATCTCAGTGGGTTATTTAATGCTGACAAGATTTTTATTGCTGGTAATATTCTTTTTCTAAAAATGTATTGCTGGTAATATTTTTTAAAAAATGTATTGCTGGTAATAATGTTTCCTCAAAAAATTTATTGCTAGTATTAAATCCTATTTTTATACTTTCATAGTGTTTACCCCAGTTTGTGTGTTAAATATTTGCCCATAGCTGGGGCCCTAACAGGTGCTACCACCCCGGGTCAGGGCGGACCTGGAAACGCCAGTAATTAAGAAATGGTTCCACTCTCCTCAAAACCTCTAATCTCCTGCTTACAGACCTTGCTGCTGGATGTCGGTTATCATCATACTCAGGATTTGGGGTCAGTGTTCGAATGAGATAAATTTTAGTTAGTGTACATGTATCAGAGGCCTTGCTGTTGGACATAGTTTATCGTCTTATCCAGAACGCGGATGTTGTTTATCGTCATATCCAGGACGGGGAAAATCTGATGCTCACAGGGCAGATTGACGGCAAGCGGGACAGAGGAAAACAGCACATAGCATACTTGATGGGCTTGAGTAAATGGACAGCAGGACAGGGTTTAGGAGAAATAATAAAGAAAGAAAATTTATTAAGAGCTACAAAGGACAGGAAATTGTGGAGAGCCATGATCGCCTCGCTATATCGATGATCGAAAACTGCTTATATGTCTTGCGTGAGAGATCAGCACGTAAACAATATGTTACAGATGGATTTACAGATATACTATGATCAATATACCCATCATGACACCCAGTCTGATAAGGGTATTATTATTCACGGCATATGATATTAGTTTATTTTCAAATCAGCAGACGTGACTTAAGAAAAATAAACCGATTATTTCTTTTAACGAACAGGTTGTATCCAGCACCGGATTATCTAATAGACGAGTATAGGCTGCAGCCTAGGATACCTCAGGTTTGGATATAATGCTGCTTATTAAAAAATCTGTATTTTTTTTACGACGTTTGTGTTGAAATATGCGCCAATTTGTTTTGAAATAGATTGTAAAATAGTGATATTTCTTAAAGAATATTTTTATTGGCAAATAAAAAATAGCTATTCTAGTTTCTTTAAATATTGATTCGTTTTGTAGGGCTTATTAATTTTTCGCAGGTTATAGCAAGCCAGAAAATATTTTTGATTGCAAGCACTTTTATTTTTGGAGATAATAATGGCTTAGTGATGCAGGTCTTACTAATTAACCCATAGCTGGAGGAGAAGAGGTGGATTAATATCTTTCCCATGGGTATTTGAGCGTGAGTGTATATAACGAACCTAACCGGAATTGGAACTCGCCTCTCTGATCAACAACTTCGAGCCATTATCCATTACACAACAGGCAAATACAAGCTTCCAGCACCTGGTATTCCCAAATGGTCTCTCATCTGGATACTAACCGGGCTCAACTTTGCTTAACTTCGGTGATCGTACGGTTTGGTTTGGTTTGTTTTACGGCATATCAACTTCAATGGGTCATTTAATGCCGACAATTTTTTCCTGGTAATATTTTTGTTTTGTCAAAAATGCATTTCTGTTAATATTTTTTTCTCAAAAATGTATAGCGGGTAATATTATTTTTTCAAAAACGTATAGCTGGTAATATTTTTTTTCAAAAACTTACAGCTGGCAACATTATTTTTTCAAAACCTCCTGATCAGAGGCCTTGCTGTTGGACGTAGTTTATCGTCTTATCCAGGACACGGATGTAGTTTATCGTCATACCCAGGACGGGTGATCGTACGAGTACCGGTATTTCAATGTGATGTGACCATAAGCATAGTTTATTTTTAAAAAATAAGGTTTACTTCAGGCTATGTAATGTCTCTAAAATATATCACGAATAAAATAAAATATTCAAGGCAAGTGAGGGCAAGATCGTGGGTGGTTCCATCTGAGTAAGAGAAAGGAATAATTTAAATTAAGCTAGGGGCATCAAAAGAGCATAATCCAACCCTGGTTATATCCAATATTTTTACTTTTGATACATCTTGAGATTTCCCGGGCTGTAATAAAAAATATTACTGAGATTACGCTCAGTGAGACGAGGGAAGTCGGGAAGGTGGTGGACTTTGTCATCTAACGTTGAGTTACAGGCAAAGATCATGGCGCCTTGTCTAACGAGAATGAGATGACCTCAGGGACATTTTTAATAGTAGGCACTAACGCTTTGCATCTATTTAGAATTTGTTTGGAGATCTTCCATTACTCCCCGGATCCAATTTGCTTGCTTTCAACCTTGACCTGAACTGCTTGTGCAGGGCCCCATTTGTCCTAAATCCGGCGCTCCACACAAGAACTTCACTTCTTCTTATGATAATACAACACTTCTTATTCTAGTACAAAGCTACGCATTAACCCTCTACCTTGAGCGGCTCTTTGGAATTTTCTAAAACTCTCTTAAAATATTTCGGGGTTTTCTGAGTACAGCAAGTGTCCTACTACACTGTTCCCTGTGATAGATTTTGTAGTAGTGGTTACGATGAGTTATGGCTACAGCGCATTCAGGGGTGAACCAAGGTTGGCTGTTTGGTTTTTGTTGGAATACCATTCTGGTGTAATTTTATACTTCATTCTTTCTTGCTTTTGATCCATTCTGGATTGTTCTTCTATTCATTTCGGTTGCTCCAAATATTCACTCAAAATGTTAACATTATTATTATTTGTGTATGTTATGATTCCTGCTTTGTATCCTGTAGAGCCGGTTCCAAACTATGGTCCTTAGGCCCTATAGGAGAATTGTCATTTTATTGATAACACTTTTCTTAGTATATGGAATGTTCCTAGTAGGGTGATCTTCTGGGCAACTTGTATGTTGATGTTACCTGGGACACTGTTAATAAAATTGTCCATTCGTTTTCTCACAAGGCCTAGAGCTCTGATTAGTACTGGTACAATCTCAGTCTTCATTTCCTACATCCTGCTAATCTCAAACTCTAGGTCCTTGTAACTGAACAATTTCTCGATTATTATTATTATTATTATTATTATTATTATTATTATTATTACTGCTACTGTTACCCTTTCAGTCACTTGTATGGTCAAACTAGACATCTAGTGTTCATCATTGAAGAAGTAGTGACAAGTTACCTCAACTCTCAAGTTACTAACAGTTTCCCAGTGTTCATACATGTTCCATTTTAGCTTTTTTTTTAGTAATACTATCATCGTAATTGTAGAGATAGTAAAAAACAAACATTGCTAAGAGCTACAAAAACTATGAAATTGTGGAGAGCCATGATCACCCACATCCTGAAAAAACTATAAAATACAAAATCATATTGATGGTTTATATTCTTTCTTGAATTTTCTGTTCTACCAAACTCTTTATAAGGCTTTTGGATTTTTTTTTAATTGATAGCACTTATGAGATGTTCCTAGTAGGGCGATATTCTGGGCAAATCACATGCTGATGTTGCATTTGAACAATTTCTCGATAAATTTCATGGAGGTGTTTCTCTCAGATGGTACTGCTATGTCAATAAGCATACACTTTCTGAATTTCTTGTCTTTTATGGTAATATCAGGTCTGTTGGTTTTTATTTCCCTGTCAGTTTGAATTGGCATGTCCCAGAGGATAGTTACATCGTTATTTGGGTAACTGCCTCTGGTATTATTATTAATATTAATTTAAGTTTTAAAATATACCCGATCCTAGAATGTGATACTTTTCTTCGAACGTCATGTATTGACGCGACAGAATCACAAGCAAAGAACTGTACCAAATAACAGAAACCACATCACTTTCAACAACTAAAATATATAGCACATGTCCCTCGAAAATAAAACAATGTCATAAGTGAGATGCTGACATGCCATTATTATTTCAAAGAACTCCTATCATCTTGGACTGACTAATTTTTTCTTCTCTCCCAATAGTAGATAGGTTCACCTTCGTCCGGTTCACACTCCTCCCTAGTCTTTTGAACAAGAGTAGAGATTTATCCCTTGTTTCCTGTTTAGGATTGGGTTTCCGGTTCCTTTCAACGTTTACTTTCGCACTATTACTTCTAAAGAACCAACAGAACTCTGAAATGTTATTGACTAATTAAATCTTGTCAACTTCAAGTCTAGAGTTGACCGATGTCTTTTTTGCATATCCACTGATTTACCATTGTGTTTGCCATAAGGGCCCCATCTTTCTTCCGTACCTGTCTAGGCATGCCTGGACTACCTCCTTCAGGGCCCAAGTAAGGGAGCTCATAACTTTACTAGCACAGAGCTCCATTTGTCCTAAATCCGGCGCTGCACAGTAACTTCACTTCTTCTTATGCTAATACAACACTTCATCTTATGCTAGTACAACGCTACACATTAACTCTCTACCTTGAGCGGCTCTTTGGCTTTGTGTTGAATGAATATTATCCAAAGAATATTAGGAAAGGAAATTAATCGATGCTCACAATCAACATCACGCCGGCATCGGTATTCCACTATTCTTTGATGCAATGAGGGAGGTGCAGCTGCAGGGTTGGTATCTTCAGGACCAAGCATCCTTCATCCTAATTTCTAGTTAGCAAGCATTGGTCCTGTGCAGCAAGAATAAAACCTCCGGTTTCAGCTTTTAACCCTTGCACTACGAAGCCATCTGATCGGTACGGAGTTTGTCTACATCAGCTTGTTTGGTACGGGCAGAGTATTATTATCATTTTTATTTTCTTTGATTTCTGGCGTTTACACATTTCTTTCCGGGTCCCGCCCAGGGACCTAAGGTTAGAAATGGCATCATGACACTTTCCACTGACAAAAAAAAAAAATTACATAGATAAAGCCCTTCGTAAAGTGTGGGCTGTACTTGTCAGAACAATTTTTTGTATCTCCTTGAGGCATGGACTTCCAGGAATCCCTTCAATTAGTCTACTGCAATCTTTTCCAACCAGTCCTAGGCCTCCAACTACAACAGGGATTGTTGATGTTCCCATATGCCACATTTTCGAGATTTCTATTTCAAGGTCCTTGTATTTTGACAACTTTTTGAATATCTTCAAAGATACATTGCAGTCAGCAGGGACTGCCATATCAATAAGGAGGTACCGTTTTTGTTTGTGGTCTTTAATAACAATATCTGGGCGGTTGGCCTTGATTGTTCTGTCAGTGTGTATTGTGTAGTCCCATAGAATTGTAACAGGTCCTATCTCCGTAATTATTATTATTATTATTATTATTATTATTCTACCAAGTGGAATTATTTTGGTTCATTTGAGTTAAAGCGATAAACCAAAATAGAACCTAAAATTGTTTTTGTAGTCTGTGTGTCAGGGCAAGGGGCGGAGGGGGGGGACTAAAATAAACTAAAAAACAAACAAAAACTTAAAACAGTATTTCTTTTATTCTTCTTCCTTCCGAAGACTCGTGCACACGTAGTTGATTCGTATGAAATAAGAGGGAACACGCACCCACATACACACACACGCACACATACGTGCTTACATATGCACACAAGAATACGCATACACCTACGTGCACATGCATGCGCATACACACACGAATGCACACACACACAGATATTCACACATATACGCACACGAACACAAACATATACACACGCACACGAACACAAACATATACACACGCACGCACATACATGCACACGCGCGCACACACATATACGCACGCGTACACTAACACACACACGAATGTATACGTACACACATACACACACGCAAGCGTATACGCACACGCAAGCGTATACGCACACGCAAACGTACACGCAGACACACATGCACGTGCACACACACACACACGCGCAAACACATTAAGGCACACACACACGTGCAATTACACACACATGCATACACACAAACACATAATGGACCAACGCGAACGCACACAAACACACACACAAACACACTCAGTCGCGCGCACGCACATGCACACACGTGCACGCACACTAAAACGTCGAAGTATGTACTTACGCATCAACAGGGTGCGATGGATAAATTGTCGTCTAAAAAAAAAAAAAAAGGAAAAGAAGGAGATAAGGACTTTTATTGGTCTCTCGCTCAACTGCGCCCCAGACATAATAATCGGGTGTGGGTAGTCTGGGGAGTTAAGTGACCAGATGTAATGGGTGGTGTAGTCGCAGAAATTGTCTAACAGCCATAACTAGGTTCTCCTTCTTGTGTGGCATGTTACCAGATAGAAGGTCTTATAGCAGCCACCCACTTGAACCAGGGTAGCCCAACCTCCTCAAGGCACTTGATGTAGGCCTCTGTGTTGAGTGTAAGACCCTGTGGGAAGATGAATGGAGGCATAACACTGACATCACTAGTGATCACTCGAAACACCTTTGTAATCACCATTAGCCTCATTCAATTCTTTCTGAATCCTGTGCACTGTCGTCAGATTGACACCCAAACACTCTGAAATGTTCGTATTGAAGTTTCCGACGCGAATCCCAAGGAGTACCGCATGCCGTTTCCAAATTTCTGGCAGA